TTTGGTGTTATTGACCTCTATTTGAGATAAAGTATAGTTAGAGAATTTCTGTGAAGCTGAAAATGTTCTAAATCTCTGTTGAATATGTCTAGTGTGAATGAAGAACCAATCTTCATTTTTTATTTCTCTGTAATTAATTACAATTTAAATTTGAATATCCACATTTTAAGTGCTCATGTGCCAAACTTGGCTGGAAGTGAACCACAGTTCAGTGATGCCACAGTTCAATGTATTTTATATTAATATAATTGACCATATGAGTATATAGAGTATTTTTGGAAATTTTGCCTGTGCACCTAAAGATATAATGTGTATTCTATACAAGTATGTGTGGGTGTGTGAGTGTATGTGTGGGTATGTGTTGGAGGTGGGTATGTATATATTGATTAATTGCCTAGTTTAAATCTTTCTATAGCTTACTTCCATATCTGCTTGCTTGATAAGCAGTGAGGGAGATTTAAGTCTCCATTTATGATTATTTACTTATGCACTTTTCTCAAACCCATGTTGAAATTATTAAGTACATATACATTAAAAAAAAAACATTGCTAGTGGTTTGGGTACTCAGTATATCGCTGTGAAACATGCTTATCACTTCTGTTGTGGTCGTTGCCTTACACAGTGATGGTGCCTAACTGTAACAGTGCTCCGGATTTGGGTTGCATAGTATCTTTTTTCATCTTTTTACTTTCCTCTTTATGCTTTTGTTTAAAAAGTGTCTCATCAAAACAGTAACTATTAATATAACTGTTTTATGTACATAACTTATTAACTAAAATATTTAAAAGCAAAACGTTCTTAGAATTTAAATGGAAAGTTATTCCATATATATTTAACATAATTTTAAAATAATTATATGCTTTATATATTTCATTTATATGTAAGTATATATATTTAATCTTAAAGTATAATATAGCTATCATTAATTGGAATGAATACTACCATTTCTTTGAATTTAAGGTTTTCCTTGTTTCTTGTCCTTCACAATAAATATTTTTAACTTTCCTTTATAAGAAGTTGTTCACTAAGTATGCTTTAAATAGTCTTATTAGTGCCCTACATTTTCAGCATAACTTAGACTCAATAAAGTCTAATAAGTTAGTACTTCCATCCCCTTCTCAAACAGTGAAAAGACTTAATGACTCTCTACTTTTTATTCACTGCTTATGTCATATTTGCTCCCTTGAATTCAAATACAAATATATGTACTTAAAATTTGAAACGTTATCATTCGTAATTACCCCTCAATATCTATTTGGGTATATCTGCATAATTTCTTTTCTTCAACTCTTCTTTCCTTTCTGCACATCCAAGTTTTCACCTAGAATGAGGGTTTCCTCTTTGGAAGATCCTTAAATATTTCCTTTAGTTAGAGTCAGTTGGTAATTAATTTTCTCCTTTTAAAAAGATTCCTTGAAAATGAAATCTTTCTACCATCATATTAAAGGGATCTTTTCCCTTGTTACTGATTTCCAATGTATCTCTCTCTCTTACGTCACCAGATATTGTCATTATTAGACATACTCACAAATACATATATTCATACCATAAATAGTAAATTCAAACTGCTCATTATTTTGAGCTTTCGTTGCTTTGAATCATCCGAACATAGATTTTATTCAAGTTAAATGCCAGAAGGGTGAACCCATACTTTTGCATGTAACAAAGGACATGATATGTATGTCTTTATTTAGTTGAAAACAGCAAAGTGTATGACCATAGAAATAGTACATATAAGTACCTCAAGTTTAAAAAGGCAACATTAGTGAATTTTACTATATTTGGCATCCCTAGTGAACGCTTCACCTGCTCTAATTGTATTATATGAGCAATAGAGGAGAGTAGATTATTTATTTAATCTATGAAAATATAATAAAATATAATTAATAGGAATAACCACATAGCTGGCCATTAGCTATTGTTATAGAAAGTTCAGATATTAACCTATATTACAAGGACATAACTATGAATTTAAATTCCATTTTTCTAGATTTTAGAAAACTAAAAACTAAGAGTTTGTCTAAATTCAATGTCTTAGATTCCATTACACTGAGATTACACTGAAAGTGAATATTCTTAGGTACAATAGATAAACATTCCCCCTTTTCTTGATACAGATGAGGACTGCTGAAAAAAATGTCAATTTGAGGCAAATTTGATAATTTATTTACTGTTTTATGTCTTTTGATATTCATGTGTTATTTAACTTGTTTTAAAAGTCTAATTTTTCTGCCCTCCCCATTTTTTTGTGAAGTGCAATTTTTAAAAATTACCATTGTTTTCCCGCTACATAAACTTGGGCCGTGTTCTTTACAACAAATATTCCTATTAAAATACAGACAGCAAGTTATGATTGGAGGATCATCAATGAATAATATAACTAGTAGATACTCAGTATTTCAATCTCTGCCCTGGTGATATAGTTTGATATTAGTTAATGTTTTATCCTTCCCAGAGATATTTATTTTTATCAGGGGAACTCTAAATAACTTCTTTATGAATAAGAAAATTAAATGCAGGTATTTTAAGAACTAGGGCAGAGAAAGTGAGAAGTATGTTTGGTCATTGATGTCTTTATGGCAGTTACAATAAAGTTAAAAATGTAGCAAGTCTTCAGAATTAGTGACAAGTATCCTTAAATACCTATTGTTAATGGAATTATGTCTTAATTTTCCCCAATTTTTTCCTTTATAACAGAAATGACATAATGAGAATATAAGGAAAAGAAATATGTAAAGTGAAAATTTAGCAATCTTGTCTAAAAGTAGAACTTAAACATTGAAGATACTCTTCACAAGCCTTAAGCTTCAGCATTTGTGGTTGAGATGGAAGTAGGTTAACAGCACGGTGGTCAAGTCTTTTGTCCCTCGGTGTCTTTTATCTATGGAAACAATTTTTCAGAGGCACTTACCAAAGGACAAACTAAATGATACAGTACAAGCCGAAAGTCTCCTATGTTCTGGAGACATGTGATGAGGTAGACTGTCTTCAAAACACCGCAGTGTAAGAATTTCCTGTTGCAGTGACACAGTGATGAGAAATCTACTTGTTTCCACTTTTGCCTCCCTCTGGGCCTTTACAGGGCAGTCTGTGAAGACCACAGAGATTGTTTGTTTACAAGGGTAACCTGGTCTCCCCCTTGACGATGCAGGACTCCAGCCTACGGAAGGTATGTGCTGTTTCTCTCCTTTCTATTCACATGTCTCCTTTAGTGGGAAATAACAAATGCTAGATGTGGTACAGCTTAGGGACAATGATCTACAATCAAATCAAAGAGACACTGGTGTCTTTATTTGAATAATTCAATGTAAAAAGTAACAATAAAATATGAAATACATTGGAGGGTTTCTGAAAATATTCAAATTCTTGCCTGGGGAGATTATTCAGGTGCATACACACATACCGTAACTGGGTTTGTAAATCAATGCCATTTAACGTGAAGTCTCATAAGCATCATGACAAGGAACAGTTAATTTTGGATTTTGTAATCAATATAGATATAATTATATATATTGTTAAATATTTAGCCCAGTCTTTAAAAATAGATTCTTAAAATGGATTCATCAAATTGTGAAGGGCAAATGTAATTCTTCATTCACCTAGATTAAATAAAAGCAGTTGATTTTTAATAAAAATCAGGATGTGGTAGCTTCTGTAAAATGCTCATTTAAATTGAGTTGTAAACAATCAAATGCTTTTGAAAAGCTTGAACAAAAGATTGCAAAAAAAACCCCACACAGATACAGACTCCTAAAAAATTATGTTTTTGTCCAACTGATATGAATCAGAAATAATAACACAGCAATTATATTAAAATAATAAAATAAGATGGTAAATTTAATATTATATTTTACATGTTTTATATCACATATTTTTATTCTCATTCCAAATTAGTAATCGAGGTTGCTAGACACTAAGTAACTTTTTAAAGATGACGCATTATAAATTTCAAAGCCAGAATTAACCTAGATCTCACTGACTGCAGACCCCATAGACTGAATTATCTGATTTATTACAGTTGCTTACACGACTAAAGCTACCCTCATGGACTTTGGCAGCCATAGGATCTTTCTAGAAGTTTGCACCAACATTGTTCTTCTATAAATGTTTGACATTGTTAGTTATTATTTTATGGTTTCCTATCTAAGCCATTATTAATTGACAATTACTTGTGTAAAATAAGAATTTTAAAATTGTTTTTTATATTGTTTGGTTTTTATTAATTGTTAAGTTTGGATAGTTTAATGTGTCATGTAATATTTTAACATATAAAATAGTTGTTTAAAATTTTAATGATGTCTCAGAACTCCAGAATAATCCAAATAAAATGAAAAACTCATTTGATAGCACCTTATTCTCTTTTAATAAATGAATGTAAGTCACTAATTAAAGCAATTTAGTACAAGAAATCACTATGTACGCCAAATCTACTCTTCCCTCATCTTTAGAACACTCAGTCTTTAACTATTAATGAATTTTAAAGTTGTTATAAAAATTGATACATCTTTTTTTTTCCAGCATGGCATTTTCATTTTTTTAACATCTTTATTATGGTTGGTTCCTGTACAGTAAACTATACATATTTCAAGTGTACAGTTTGTTGAATTTTGATAGATGAATTTTGATAGATGTTTGATGAATTTTCATTTTAACACAGTTATTTTAACAGTTTTAAAGTGTTTCTGTGCAATTTGAGTTTAAATTAATATGGCTATCACTATTCGTGAAATTTATTCCTCACTAATTTATTAATTTTCATTGTTCCAACTGATAAGTTTGTATCAAACACAATATTATTTTAAAAACTACTTACCCTGTCATGAAACACATTTGAAGTTTAAGGAAATTAAAACCAGACTTTTACATTGTTCAACTGCAAAATGAATGCTATTACTTACCTCACACAGCACCCAGTTTGACTACACTAGGGTTCTTGTGATTCTATACATCATTTATTAACCACTTAAATACAGTTTTCATAGAACACCGTCCTTGACATCACACAGCTGCAGAGATGGATAACCAAAGAGAAAACGACTCAGCACCGAATCTGGTGAAGGAATTAAGGAGACAGCGAATGAAAGGTGAAAGCACGAAAATTTCCAGTTCATAGCTGAACAGGAGAAAACCTACATGGAATTAAACTTCCAAAATGCTTCCCAGGATCCTCAAGGGAATGACAGTAACTGCCACCACAAATGTAAAGCATTTAACGGCTCATATACTTTTTATTTGCGAGGATCAGAGCTTGAGTTTGAAATACAGAATTCCAGTACGAAATTTGAGGACTTATTTTATTCTGGCATTGTTGTAATTTGTAGTCTTTGATCAACAACTCATGAAACATTATCTTTGCTGAAAAATGCAATGGTATATTCCGAAAGATGCCAATGGTAGATACGAGTTGGGGGTCCAAGTTTATGTATATGACTCCCTGTGCATGTGGGTTCTCTTGTAGGTAAACTTTCTAAACTACTGCCTCCATCATGTCTTTCTCAGTGTTTCCATTTCTCTCCCAGCAGAGTCACTGTCACCTCCAGAGAAGCTCATTGCTGAGATCCTGGGAATCCTCTGCTTTGTCTTGATGTATATCATAGTAAAAATGATAGCTGTTACTCCATGCAAGTACATTTTTGAAAGATTATAATGGAACTTCTCATTACAATGATAGTCGGTGCCTCTAAAATTTCATTCTGTTATGGAATAGAACTCTCATTTTAATATATGCATTTAGGCTAAATGTGGAACGGTTATTCTGAAACTATTCAAAGTATAAATACTTTGTAGAGAATATTATATATATATATATACACATATACATACATATACATATATATATATTCTGATTTCATAACTCAAAGATATGCTTTAGGAAACTGAAAAACCTTACTGAGAAATATAAATTAATTCTTGAGATTGGTTAAACCAAATACTGTAAGAAGTGGTGAAGTCTGTTCCTTAAAGATTTTGGGATTATTCCTCCCCTCTAATGTTCATTAATTTATTTATTTTCTTGGTAAAATTAATTTTATTCTAGATCATTCTAATCCTAAACAACACCACTTTTTAAACTAAGAAATTAAAATAATTGTGATTTATTTTGATCAATACTAATTTTTAAAAGATTACTTCAATTTTTTCTAGGCATTGTAACACCAGAGCAGAGTAATTCCTCTCCAGTAACAAGGCTCCAGAAAGGTACATAATGATTTTCAAAGTTCTGATTTAAGTACAGTTTCTATTTTGTCTCTATCTTAGGCTGGACAAAAATAACAATAGATTTTGGAGGGGAATATCATAAATTACAAATTCAGGGCATAAATGTTCATAAATTACAGGAGAGTTTTCTTCATATGC